AAATACTATTCTTGATAGTGTGGCATGTAATTCATTCATATCTACTTGTGTGTTTGAAGCATAGGCAATAGTTACGTCAATCACAAGGTATACACACGAAGCTGTTAGGATATTTTTAACTTGCTTTTTGTTCTTTTATTCAAGACACCATCTGCAGGTTCCACCGCTTTGAAGCCGGCCATCTGTTGATCTTTAAAGCATTTCTCTCTGCCATCACGACCGCTATTTAACTGTCTCCTAAGTGTAGAGGACATAATGGACAAAATACACGTTATGCCATATTCTCTGGATCAATATTTATCGTTAGTGGCTGTAAAATCTGTTTGGAATGGCGTTTTGTTTGGATTTTACACACTCATAAATTGTGGCTCTGACTGCCCATTTATCACAGGCTATGTTTTAAAGTATCCAGCTTCATTTGAACTGGCCTTTCAACGTAACAAATATTTCAAGTTATGTTTACACGTTAACAGCGCCATATTGCTTTAAGACGTCGACTGGATTTTTATCTCGAAATCTTTTCTGTTTGTATTTTTTTCTTGTCCACTTTCTCGAAGTATAATAATTGGAACGGACTTGTTGACTAAAAATGTTACAATAAAAATAAATATTTTATTGCCAACTTCTCAGGTTCTTAACGTTGGATAAAATTTCCCTTTCTCCATTGAAACCAAAGTGTTTCTAACGATAATTAAATTATAAATTCTAATTTCTAAAAATAAAGAGCGTGTATAATGGCAGTATCTTATTTTTGCAACATTAAATTGCAGTTGAATTTGTAAAACTTGCTTTTGGAAATAAACGCTTTAAAAAAGAACTTTAACGTTTATTTATTCTAAATTTATAATGTAGAATTTTTACTTTGGTTTAAAAGCGATATTTCACATAATAGAATATATCGGTCAAAATGATACCTCGAGACAAAAGACCAGGGGGTCATGATTTATAAACCCATCTGTAACAATTTGTAATAACTTTTTGTTGATATGTTACTGTGATGTCTATAGATCACAATATACTTTTAACAGATTTTTGAAAAGATACAAAATCAAAATTTAATCAACTACATTATCATCAGTTTCTTGAATCGTCGGATGGGGAACCTAAACTGAGAAAAAAACAACGTCCTTCGGGATGGTCTTTTGGTGGTAGCTCTCAGGAGTTCCGACATTGTCATGTCTGTCCACACTTTGATGATGTCTGACCAGCTTTTGCGTTGTCGTCATCGTTTGCGTCCACCTTCAGCGGTGCCTTGCACGATGGTCTTTCACAGGCTGTTATGCCGTGTGAAGTGGCCAAACCACGACATATTCGGACATTTAATAGTGGCGAGAAGAGATTCCTGTCGACCCACAAAATCATTGACCTTCATCGTGAAGAAGATGGCCCAGAAATTGGTAAAATAGGGTGGAATTTCTAAAAACAAAAAAAAACAAGTGAGCAATATTGAAGGTACGAGAGCAAAATCTTGGGTTCCACCACCCACCCTCGGTAAACCAGTTACCGCGGTAAACTGGTCCCCCACAAAAGCGGTGTACTACTGTAATGACTTAAACAAACGGAATTATTTGAACAAAACAGAAAAAAAACTTAAGCTTCAAAACACTTTTTCCATAGTTTTGTTCCCGATATAAAACAGCTTATTCAAAAATTTGAAAATTGCAATAAAATTAAATAAACAGATCTTGGTTAAATTTAACAAAATGTTTGGGCCCACACACACATACATGCATACATACATACCTACATGCATACATTCATACATACATCGAGTGCGAACTCACACACATACACGCACCATGAAAAAAACTTGCACCAATTGAAATTGCATATAAGAAAGAAAAATCGTGAAGTATAAGCAGATAAAAGATACCCCCTAACGAGTGGACGGAGTGATTCTCAGTGGGTCCGTCTACGAAATTCTGGAATCGTCATGCTGAAAGTAACATCAGTCAGTCATAGTCATTGGTTTTGTGCTCCCAAATGAGAAATGCGGAGGAACTTTCTCGGAATCAAGCCGAGCTTCTCGACTTGACGGTCGAACTTTCTACCTCTGAGCAGAAAGGAACCGGACGAGGTTCCGCCGAAGGGCAGAATCTCGTTCGGGGAAAAATGACCAACCCGATCTCGTTTATACGGGTTATACGGGCATTTTTGGGCCGAGCCTACGGGCACGGGAAACCCACGTAAAAACTCGGCCTTGTGCCACATGCAACCCTCGTGGTGGGTGGCTAGATACCGAACGCCTGGATCCCTTTTCCTGCCTCAGCCAGGAGTGTCCAAATTTCACACCCGTAGACGAGGATGGATATGATCAGCAATTTGTAGAGCTTGAACTTGGTATAGAAATTAATGTTTCTCTTCCGTGTCCTTTGCAGTTTGACCATCGCTGCTGTGGCTGTGGCGATCTATGTGCGTTGCAGGTGCCATCTTTTGACAGAGTTGCTCCCAAGTATTTGAAGCTGGACACTTCTTCCAATGGTTTGCCTCCATGGTGAGGTTGGCACCAGTGCTGTTTGTGCTATTCATTATTACTTTTGATTTCTCTGCCTTGAATTCCATTCCATATGCGATGGTTCTTTCAACGAGTTTGTTGGTCAGTTCTTGCAGCTCACTCTTACTGCCTGCATTCTCCTCGTATTCCATTA